CCACTAGCGGCTGGATTAACCCTCAGTGAAACATAGCAGTTTCTCTGAAACTGCTCTGTTTACAGCTGCAGTGTTAGCACTAGATGGACCTGGCACTCAGACCACTTGATTGAGCTGAAGTGGTCTGGGTGCCTATAGTGGTCCTTTAAGTGTGAAACTGTGGAACTCGCAGGTTCCGTGAACATTTAAGCAACATGTGAGACACGCAGGTCTCAATTGTTAATGGGTTAGTTGTAAGCATGTTATTTACGTGACAGAGAAATATTGCGATTACGCTCTAACCTCAGAAAAACAGCGTTTCAGTAACAATGCTTGTGGTAGATTGTTGCCCTGGTGATCAGTTAAACGCTTGTCCATGTGGTGTCGGCATGTGTCTTTCCCTCCATGAGGGAGGGGCACTGTCTAAATCACCAGTGGCAGCCACAAAGAAGCGCGGCCTTAAAAGGGTCTCCCTGCACGGAGGCCTGAGGGGTTGACGAGTATTTAAAGAACAGGGAAAGGGGAGGATAGTAAGGAAAATGGAGGAAAAGTTTTGCTCTCAGTTAGTTGTGTGGTGTCCAGTCTATCACGCCTCTCTTTCACTACAGGTGGCGTCATAAGTGTTTTATTGCAATAGTGTCTTAAAATCAGCGGAGTCTGTTGACAGAAGCCATTGAGTCCATATATTCAGATAAGTTTGGGATCTCTCACTGCTACGGGATATCAGGTCTTCCATAGAGCTGAGTTCTTCCATTCGTTGGAACCACAGTTCCATCTGTGGAGCTATTTCTTTCTTCCAAAACAAAAAGTTACCAGCCCTTTGGCGACATTCAGAATTCGTATCGTCAGTGAGTTTTTGTATGTGGATGTGCGAGTTTTAGTGTGGTGTAAGACAATTGGTGCTGGTCATCTGAAAATCTTTGGATGATACTGTAGATCTTTGTGCTGCTTCAAAGTGTGTGATTGGAGATATTCTGGAGATAAACTGGAGGTAATCAGAGGTATACAGAAGGACAAAAAAAAGTAAAGATTTGTTTGATTTAAATTACTCACCTCATTAAAATGGCAGACTTGGTTCAGTGTAATAGTTGTTATGCATTTGTTTCACGTTCCACTTTTTGGAGATTTGGATACGGTTTAATCTGTAGACAGTTCTCTATATTGTGGCAGGCAATTGTATTTTCGAAGTCTGAGATTTGTAAATTATCCGGTAAACAAACTCAGGCTGGAACTAGGAATGGCAGATGGATTACGGTAGGATCTGGTAGACTTAGAGTTGTGGATAAAAGGCATATTGCACAGTCTCTTGCTCTACATAATTCTTTTTCAGCACTTTCAGAGTGTAGTGGTGTTCTGGAGACAGGTTACCTTATATTGTATGTATATATTTGTGTTAATACCCACACAAGGTGTTTTGAGTATTTGTCATTTTTGGTGTCACTCACTGGGATATTGCTACATAGCTTTTTCAGGCACAGAGTGTAGTGGTGTTCTGGAGTAAGGTTCAGGCACAGAGTGTAGTGGTGTTCTGGAGACAGGTTTAGGCACCGAGTGTAGTGGTGTTGTGGAGACAGGCTCAGGCACCAAGTGTAGTGGTGTTGTGGAGACAGGCTTGGAGACTATGGTGAGGCCTAATAGAAAGCAGCTGTTGTAGGGGAATTCTATCATAAGAGGTGTGGAGCTGGACAATAGTGGTTTTGTGAGATGTCTTCCTGGAGCTACTGCTCACATGACAGGAGACCTATTTGTAATATTGTTAAGCGAGCAAAGCAGGAAGGGGAATCTGATGTAGTGGTCCACCTAGGTACAAATGACTTGGCTTGCAATGAGGTTTCATTGGTAAAGGAAGTTTTTTGTGTTTTTTGCCAATGATAAACGGCAGGTTGCTTCCACACTGTCATTCTCTGAAGTTCTGCCTGTGCATAACATCTAGAACGACAGGCGGATGCGTATTAGGGACTTTAACTTGTGGCTTGGTGAATGGTGTCGGGAGCAAGGATTTGGCTTCATTTCTCATGGTAGCTGTGAAGAATCACCTTCCATGCATTCGGTACTTTCCCTCCCTGCTACTTTGTTTGTGGATTTATTACCTTTATTACTAGTTCATTCGTTACTTTCTATTCGTCAAAATCCCTTGTTCGGTAAAATAGCTATTTTACCGAACGAGGAACACCCTGGGCAGCAATTAAAATGTGGAATCCTGTGTTACTGCACAAAACCACAAGCTAATCGAGTGCTCCAGGGTGGCTGCCATTTCGGACACGAACACGTAGCGAGAACAATGGATGGCGGCCATCTTAAACTCCCGAATGGCCGGCCAGCGGGACTTAGGCGTCGAGTGCCTGGAACTAATTTCGGCATGGCTCTCCAGCAATACCCAGTCCCCATAGAAGTCCCGTCTGACCCATTTACACGAATTGCACACGAATGGCGTTCAGGAGTTTCAATCTACCGAACGAGGGGAGCACTCTCATGTAACCAGCTACCTTATATCTATGGGGGTTTTCGTGCAATTTTCATCCGAACGGAGAGCGGCTAGCACCACTGATTTCATGGAACTCTGAGTCGGCTACAACCTCTTGGCGAGCCGGTCAAACGTCCACACGGTATAACTCCAAAACAGATTCACACGAAATTTGGATATGTTGCTCACACCACCCTCAGCTACCCAGGGATATTTTTATGTTATGTTTTGGATGAAGTATGTTTCTAATAATTGTGAAAAATTAAAACTTTTCTGGCCACTAGATAATTGAGTTTGATAAGTGCTCAAACCCAATTATCTAGCCTGGCCCAGAGGAGGAGTTATGTACTGTATAAATTGTATGCCCTGTTTCTCAGTACAGCAGAATTGTTCCAGCATTAAGCCTTGGCTCATGTGTGGATTATTCGGCGATACCAGCGATTTCTTACTCTGTGGATTACTTGGTGATTTTATTTTATGGGAAGAAGGGAATGCTTGATGGAGTAAAGGATTGTACCGTCATAGTAGCTCTGTTTGGAATGGAAATAAACTGTACAAAAAAGATGGTTTGCATCTATCTCAAAAGGGAACAAATATCCTCAGTGAGCAGTTCAGAGGTTTGCTTTCCTATGGACTGTTTGAATGCGCGCGCGGCTCTTGCCGCACATCCGCATTCAAAGCTGACATCGGGAGAGGGAGGAGAGTTCCCCAGCGCCGAGGGAGCCCGGTGCTGGAGAAAGGTAAGTGTTTAACCCCTTCAACCCGGCGGGAGGGGGGCCATGAGGGTGGGTGGGGGCCTAAAGACCCTATAATGCCATTGTTTTCCTGACACTATAATGATGCTTTAGGTGATACAGACCTGCGTGTCTTGTACTATTCTGTTATATGTTCTATCTGACACACATACAAAAAAAATTATGACCTGTCGAAATAATCAGATATTCACAAAAAAATTGGGTGTTTATAGTCTGACAAAGTTTGGAGGAATGTTGCTTACCAAGCTTTACATAACAATGTCACATTCATGTCTGCTGTAAGAGGTAGAGATATAATCACTAAACAATGTCTTGACCACATTTCGGCTGTTTTTATTTATTTATTTTTTCCTTTAAATGTTGCATTTTTATTTTATTTTCCATTTTTTTATTTAGTTGTTTAGAATATTTTTTGGCTTAAGTAGATTGACTCCCCATAATTTTTGGTAATTTTTCTTTTTCCAGATGACCCTTGCACTGCTCGGCGTGATGCTGTTGCACGGAGAACAGCTGAATATCTGCGTCATGCAGAGAACATTTTCCAACAACACATGAAGGGGAGCACAGATTAACCTTCTGCCAAGCACAATGAGAGAAATTACCCGGTTCAAAAGAGACGTCTGTTCAAATTGGCCTACTTTTAATTCAGGGTGAAAGAGAGTGATTCTAGGACTATGCACATTAAAACATTCCTTTACAAGTGAATCGTACTGTTGTTCAGAACAGAAAGAATTGATGGTCATGAATTAATTTTTCATCTTTTAAATGCACTTTACCGGTTTGCTAAATGAAACGTTCTGTCTTTAAAAGTAGAATGATCGCTTTGTATCAATACAAGTCTGTGAGGTGAGTCAGTATGACTGAGAGGGGAAGGTCTTCCACAGAAAAAAGCAAGACAATGCATTTGGGGTTGTTCAGCACAAACGAGAACTCTAGAGAACAGGAATTGGAGTTTTTAGGAAAAATAAAATGAAAAAAATAAATGAGTTGGAGATTTTTTTCCAATTTTGGTTCTCTGTCCAAAATTGTATGATTCCATGGCCCATCTCCACAGTTCCTTGTATACTGAATAATCCAATGGTTTTATTTACTTAAAGTGTCTGTCAACTTCGGGGGGGATCTTTGTATATTTAGCAAAAATCTGTGAGGTGACATCCTTGCTAGCTGAATTATACTTACCGGTATCTCATGCTCTCCCTCAAGGGCACTGCCATCTATTTTATTTTTTTTCTTGATCCCCCAGCAATTAATGCAGTATAACACAGAGGTCAATAGAGGATCTCTCAAGACTAACTAATTTGCTCAAGGAGGTCCCTGATTCCCACAGTCATAGCTTGCGAAAGCTGTGTAAATTGACTAAGCATGACAGTAAAAGCTCCACATTTTGTCAACCTTTGACTTTACCATAAGACAAAGTATTCACTATTTTCCAAAAAGAGAGTAAACCGCGCCCGAGATATATGTACAAATGGTTATATGTAGATAGGTTTCCAGATGTTAAATACAATGAACCTCAAAAAAAAATAAAAAAAAAATAATAGTGCAATATAGTAGGTATAGCGTATATATGTGGTGGATAAATGTGTCACTAACACTCACATTTACACTCGCAAATGCAGAAGAGAACTCCAATTGTGAAGTAGGTACAGGTAGATGTATCAAATTAGTAAGTAAAAAAATTATACTCCCGTCAAGTGGCACTCCTTATTAGTACTTACTATTGTTTTAATTTATATATATATATATATATATATATAGAGAGAGAGAGAGAGAGAGAGATATATATATATATATATATATAATTTTTTTATTTTTTTTTTGTGTCAAATTAAAGTTTATCTATTTTGATATATAACTTTCTTTTGCATCCATCAACTGCTTCCTGGTACCAACATATCCTTAGGTGGGGATTATACCACCCATGCTGTTCACACTAGAGCAAGTCCTGCTCTAGTAAATGTGAGTATAAATTTTTACTTACTAATTTGACACATCTACCTGTATCTACTTCACCATTGGAGTTCTCTTCTGCATTTGCTTTCACATATGCCCTGCACATGGCACCTTATTCGAAGTACTCATGGTGACCTTATCATCATATATCCTTAGACGGGGATTGTTCCGTCCATGTGAAAAGCAGCAGAGCTCTGAAGTAGCTCATAAGAATATGAGTGGTAGTGACACATATTTATCCACCACATATACTCTATACCTACTGTATTGCACTATTATTTTGTTATCTTTGGGGGTTTTTTTTTTACGTCCATTGTATTTAACATAAGGACACCTATGTACGTATAACCATTTGTACATATATCCTGGGCGCGGTTTACTCTCTTTTTGAATTGTATGTATCATCAAGGTCTGGGAATCCTTGTACGGTTTACTGCTGCCTGCTTTGCAGCCTCTGCTCAATATTATAGTGAGCGTCTATTAATTTATCTGTGTTCACCATTTTCCGTTATTATATATTGTTACTGGAAATTTAATTGAAATTCCAATACAGGACATATGAGTATTTTATGAAGATCATATCTTTATTAAATATTTATAAATGTCACTGTGTTGTCAGAGCTGCTTTAACAGTAAATTGTTTTCTAACAGTTCAAGAAGATTTTGTTTGCGGGGACATACCCCATGATATTGCGATTAAGTAATTTAAAGAAGCCAAAGATTGAGAGAAAACGTGTGCGCGCGTGTTTTGGTGTTTTATTGTTTCGCTTTTTTTAAACACTAACTTTTATTTATAAAACAAAAGTACTGTGATTATCCACACATTAATTCTGAGATTTTTTTAAATTTATTTTTAGCAAACTTTCTTTTATTGAGACATTGCATAGTATAGTACAGAAAAGAAAAAAAGCAGCTATATCAGACAAACACATGTCAAGAAAGCATCAATAATATATATTCCTCCTTGAAATGTCTAAAAAATTTTTACAAATAAAAACACGTTAAGTGAACACATCTAAGCATCAGACACAACATTGCAGTCAAGTATAAAATAGATATTAGATATGCAATTAAATAATAATAAAAGAAGTAATGAAAGAAAAACCAAATCAAACAGAGCGACGCACGAGGCTAAAGCTACCAAGTATTGTTGTACAGGTACAATAAGTAAAGGGGCTCAAAAGAAGAGACAATTAAAGGAAATATCGAACTGCAGCAGGGCAGTCACTATAGCATGTGCAACAAATCAGGGGATACAACCCAAACATACTGTCTTGTCGAGAGACCCTAGGATAGCAGCCTATTCAACTGATGCCTATTGTATTCAGGCAGAGTACAGGGAGATAGAGGTGAGTCCCGCATACTGTTGAAGTATGAGGTTTCCCTCCAGGTCCAAGCTACAGACCTCACCCTCCATAGACAGGTATGAGGTTTGATATCTTGGGAAGTGATGTTTCCCTCGGGTGCACAGCCTTCGCTTAGTTCTCCTCCTCCAAGGGAGCCCTTGGGCCACGGCATTGCCCAGAAATGGTGTCACAGTTGTAGGCCGCGGAGGATGATTCTGCCTCTCCTAAAGTGTCCTCCAGAACCGCTGACATATATAAAGTCAAACACCCTTTGAAAGCCAGCTTCCCAGCTGATGACAGATACCTGTACATTGTGCTGTATAGCTGCGTTGTCGTCAGCGATTTTGGTCTATGCCTGTCCTGTATTCGCCCAAGAGCAATACAGAGGTCAGTGCAATCTTGGTGGGGTTTGGGGTAACCCCCACTGGAGGACCATGGGGAGCGAGTATGGGCCTCCTTTTATGTACTAGATTGGCCAGTCCAGGTCAGGTATGCACAGGTGGCCGCTGAGGCCCCAGACTAGGCCGCAAGTGGTGTCCACCGGCTTGAGCTATCGGCAAGTCAAGAATTGCCTCTTGTACAGAGAGATGCCCAGGAATATCCGGGTGCAGATTAGACATCTGGAAAGGGCTAAAAGCAGTAATTTTGAGGGATTATGTGGATAAAGCTCAGGAGCCTATGCCCCCCTGAAATTTCTTATGGTGATGCTTTGTGGTACTGTTGAACACATGTGAGTTGAATATCAGGGAATGGTGGAAACCCATGCCCAGTGCAGTTTTGTATTATGTCACTTCATAATTAAACATAATTGCATCAGAAAACAACAGTTTTTACAATTTAGTTGTGGTTCTTGCCTGGTTGACTATTTTGGCCTTAAATGTGGAATTAATTTAGAATTTCTGCAAATGCACACTTCAGTAATTAACTACGTCTAGCTTTCATCATCTTAGCGCTAACTCAAACATTGGTTGTCACTTTTGTTTTATGATATGAGATCCAATATATCGTTCAAATTAAAATTACAAATCTCCAGAACATTCTTCATGTATGGTAGTGCTTGATTTGGTTTAGTTTAGACAACCCTACGCCCAAAGGATAGATTTCATGGATACACTATGATCAAAGAAGCTGGATTAGTAAATAGACCGTTATCCTCTAATGTCTATTTCTGAAATGGAAAAATCATAGCAACTAAAATGCTCATTTTAAATTCTTCAAAGCAGTATAGAAAATGTGTCAAAGTCATAGTATTAAACCTCTCTTGGATTTCTTGAATGCATTGCATAATAGAGTTTATCCCCACCCTTTCCCTGACCTAGCCCTTTAAACCTGTTTAATTTTCTGATTGAATAGACAGTACACATTATTTGAGATTTACCAGTCCTAATCCGCATATTCACTCTCATTTAAAGGGAAACTGTCACTTTACTGGGACATACACCATTGAACTAAACATTGAAAATAAAAAATGTGTTCCTATGATGGTCGTTTTTAAAAAAAAATTATATTATGTATATATTCATGTATATTATAGATTTAGCAAATTACAACAGTTGAGGCAAAGCAAAGCCAGGACAAACATGTAAATGAAAAGAAGAAATTTAAACATTTGTCTTCTCAAACTTTATCGTTGCTGACTGCCATGTGCACAGAACAGAGTTTCTAATAATTGAAAGGGAGCTAAGATGGAGCCGCCCATTTGTAAGGATAAAGAGGTATGTATTTCTACAATTATTTTTCTGTTTTACACCTTGCAAACACATATTGGTTAAATATATTGATAAGTTAACATAATATTAAACAAACAAGTTAAATTCTATGAAACTGCATTAAGCGCCTCTAGTGGCAGTCTTAACACTGCAATGAAGAAAATTCTTTTTGACATTCTTTATTTTTGTTGTGCATGGATTCAGACATACTTAAGCTTGTTGTTTTACAACACTGCTATGTTGTAAAAAATCAGAATAAAACAGACGGAAAGTAGGCTTTGTCTAGTGTTTCTTGAAGAGTGCTCTGGAAAACATCCAGTTGCCATGATAGTCAGGCCCGCCCTTCCCTTAAGAAAATTCTAACAAAATATTTAGGCAAATTGAATTTACTTGACATGTTAAAGGAACACTATAGGGTCAGGAAAACAACCATATTCCTGACCCTATAGTGTTCAAACCACCATTTATCCCCCCTCCCCACTCAGTTCCCCTAAATATAGTTACCAGTAAATCTTACTTTTGTTCCAGTCTGAAGTTGCTGGCTCTGCTGACATAATCAGAAGTGATTCTCTCAGCCACTCACAATGCTTTCACATAGTCTCAGCCAATCCAATGCTATCAAGAAGGCAGATCAGTGGCAGCACAAGTCAAACACAGCCCTGGACAATCGGAATCTCCTAATAGAAATGTATTGAATCAATGCATCTCTACGAGGAAAGTTCAGTGTGTCCATGCAGAGGGTGTAGGCTCAAAATGTGCAGCACTGCCCCAGGAAGCACCTGTAGTAGTAATCTGAGGAGTGGCCAGTGGAGGTATCCCTAGACTGTAATGTAAACACTGACTTTTCTGAATAACACTGACTTTTCAGGGGGAAAAAAAACTGTTTTACTGAAAAAAGCCTGAAGGGAATGATTATTTAAAGGGACACTATAATCACCAGAACAACTACAGCTTATTGTATTTGTTCTGGTGAGTATAAACAAAAATTTAAAGTAACACTTCAAGCACCGTAACAACGACAGGGAACTTCCTGCTGCCTCTGGAGCCAGAAGCTTTATGACTGACTAGTGGTACAGAACTCAGCTCATTGGCTTAGAATGATCACCTAACACTTTCAGCCAATGTGTTGGCCCTGTACACTTCTGTCTATACTTATTGCTAAAGGGGGCAGGCAGTAGCACTAGGTGGACCCAAGATAACAAGACAAATTGTTACTAAATGATTTCATCATTTACATTCGGGTGGATGCCAGGCCACTTCTGGCACCATAACTACTACATCATACTGTAGTGGTTATGGTTCTTGGAGTGTTCCTTTAACCCCTTAAGGACACATGACGTGTGACATGTAATGATTCCCTTTTATTCCAGACGTTTGGTCCTTTAGGTGTTACACACTCCTTTAAAAAAACACTATATCATTAGAAATATAAATATATATTCCTAACTCTATAGTGCCTTAGTCACCATTTAGGTGACCAGGCCAATGCTGCAGGGTTTTAAAAAGGTGATTTACTCACTTATCAGCCCTCCCAGCGCCGGTTTACTCTGTGCAGCTCCACCTCTTTGGTTGCGATCATCAATGTTGCCAATCCAATACTTTCCTAGTTCCTGCAGAATGGAAATGTTTCAACTGCAGAGTTAATGGAGGAGTGGGGGTTTGGGGGGAGGGATGTGTCACTAACACATAGATGAAATTGTCTGTTTTCATATAGCAGTCCTTTAATTAACTAAACATACCTTATCATCAAATCATTTTAGTACAGTTTGACAACTTTCATGTCCTGTGGCTACAGTCTGCTTCCAGTCTGCAGGAGAATCTGGTTAACTCTCAGAGCTAAGCACTGCCATGCATGAACATATTAATTGGTTGAGATAATTCAGCAGATGCAGTAATATTCTTTTTTGTGCTTTCTCAATATATGTACATCATACATTGTTGACTACTGAGGCATTGATAGTGGAATTGTACTACGTAAGAGCAAATACCGGAACCAGGATAGGCTCAGTGTTGTACGTACACCACACTATCTATACACTGATCAGTCACAACATTAAAACCACTGATAGGTGAAGTAAATAACATTGATTATATCATTACAATGGCACCTTTTAAGGGATGGGATATATTAAGCAGCAAGTGAACAGTTAGTGCTTGAACTTGAACAAAGAGTGATGGCTAGACGATTGGGTCAGAGCATTTCCAAAACAGCAAGCCTTGTGTGGGGATTCCCAGTATACAGTGGATAGTACCTACCAAAAGTGGTGCAAGGAAAGACAGTCGGTGAACTGGCATCAGAGTCCTGGATGCCCAAGACTCATTGATGCATTTGATAAGTGAAGGCTAGCCTGTCTGCTCTGATCACACAGAAGAGCTACTGTAGTTCAGATTGCAGAAAAACATATTGCTGGCCAGGATAGAAAGGTGTCAGAACACACAGTGCAACGCAGTTTGCTGTGTATGGGGCGGCATATCAACAGCGATCAGAATGCCCATGATGACCCCTGTCCACCGCCAAAAGCACCTTCAATTAGGACATGAACATCAGAACTGGATCATGGAGCAATGAAAGAAGTTTGCGTGGTCTGATGAATCCCGTTTTCTTTTAGATCAGGTGGATGGCCGGCTAGGTGGACATGTGTCGTTTGCCTGGGGATGAGATGGCAGTAGAATGCACTATTGGAAGAAGGCAGGCCAGCGGAGGCAATGTTATGCTCTGGGGAAGTGAACTGTTCTGCTGGGAAACTTTTGGTCTTGGCATTCATGTGGATGTTACTTTGAAACATATCACCTACCTAGAGATTGTTGCAGGACACATACATCCTTTCATGGCAATGGTGTTCCATGCTTGCAGTGGCCTCTTTCAGCAGGATAATGCAGCCTGCCACACTGCAAAAAAAATTTGGAATGGTTTGAGGAACATGACAGAATTCAGGTATTGCCTTGGCCTCCAAATTCCCCAGAGCTCAATCCAATTGAGCATCTGTGTGATGTGCTGGAACTACAAGTCTGATGCATGGAGGTCTCACCTCGCAACTTGCAGGACTTAAAGGATCTACTGCTAATATCTTGGTGCCAGATACCACTGGACACGTCGAGAATCTTGTGGAGTCCATTCCTAGATGCATCACAGCTATTTTGCAGTATTAGGGGGGCCTACAGTATATTTGGCAGGTAGTTTTAATGTTGTGGCTAATCAGTTTATATTATCGTACTATGCAAGCTTATAAAAATCGGTTGATCGGTTACCTGTTAAGCCAACCAATCAGAGAGCTTTGACTTGCATAGCATATGAAATTGGCTGTTCGAGTTTTAAAAGATGTGCCGCTGCCCACGGCAAGCTTCCCAGACGCTAGAAAGGCCCTAGCCTATCCCATGCAAATTGGATTTGTAAAATAACCGGACATTGGGTTTAACTGGTGGGTGGACAGATCACTGTCTACCCCCCCTACCCCATCCAACATAAAGTCCAATTCTGGAGGAAATGTATAGACCATTTTTGGACTATTAATGTTGTTATTGTCTGCTACATGAGCCTGCAGGTTATTTTATTGTGGTCTGGTAGAACATAGATTTTTATTTTTGCATCTAGTGGTCATCTTATTATCAAGCTAGGTATTATATTTGAGAGTACCAGGGATTTAGCACCCCATGCTTAGAAACTGCACTCTTTTTCTGATATTAGAGGATTCATCTCACTTACCCCTACCAGTGAGCAAACAGTACTTCAAATTATAATTCACTTGCAAAAATGAACAATAATTTGCAAATGTGCATCCATCTACTTCCCAACATTTCAAATGTAAATAGAGGGACAGTTGCATTTAGTGGTGTAAGTGGGGGTGTTGCTGGGGGCAAGGCTATTATTAGAAACTTTAGGCGACATCATAAAGGGATACTATAGTGCCAGGAATACAAAGCTGTGCTTCTGGCGCTGTAGCTCCCCCTGGCTCCCCCCTCCCTCGCGCCCACCTGCCTGGGAGAATAAAGGGTTAAAAACCCTTTATTTGGGGGGTGGAGCCTAGCAGCGCACCGGAGCAATTGCCACTTCCCGCGACTCCGACAGCTTAGAGCTAAAACTGAATGATATCAGCCGGAAAAAAAAAAGAAGTGTGCACAAACCACACTGAAAAAAGTGCTTAATAAATATTAGCAGAGAGGAACTTCCCTGAATAGGGTAAAGTATCCACAGGTTTCCACAAAGACCTCCTCTTGTCTTCAGTACAATATATATAAAAACGTAGGAGATGATCTGCTAGATCAAAGTAAACAAAATCACATAGCATATAACCAGGGTATAAAAGGAAATTTAATAACTTACATTCAGGTTAAAAACCATCTGTCACCACTAGGTGTCCTACGCGTTTCATCCAATGGCAGGACTTCCTCAGGGACTTGTGTGGTGTATAACAGCAATAATCAAAATTAATTAATTTTGATTAATACACTGGAACTCCCCACCAATACCAGAGGAACTCCCAACACACAACCAAGGACTCTGGCTAATACGCCACCCTCAACTAGCAGCGCAGACGAAGGCCCTGTGACCTGAAAGAGGAGGCTTACACACAAGCATACCAATGTTTATGTTTTTTTTGTTTTAATATTTCTAATGTTTAATGTTTAATGTTTAAAAATACCTACCAACGGGCAAGAATGTCCGAGCCTACCCAGACGAGACATATAACGCAAACTCCGGTGACACATGACACACAATACTTCCCCCCAACCCCCTTCCCCCGGGGGCCCCTATGGGACACGGGAAAAGCCAGCATGATTACTAGCAGGCAAAGCGCCAGTAATAATCCTGGTAGGCGGGCTAAGAATAGACACCCCTAGGCACAGACCACTACCCCCGCCCTCCCAAATGCCCCAGCTAGCACAAAACAAGCCACGACTACACTAGTCAGACAAGCGACCATACTCAGGGTCACAGACCCCGACTAAACTACATCTAGACACGTCCTCATGCTCTAAATGACGCCCAGGAGGACTCCCAACTACACTTATAGAAATAGAAAGCCCTATTAAGTGAACAAGTACCAGAAGGCACTACTCCAGGAACCCCATGGTTAGGTTACCCCAAGCAGTGCCACACAGCACTCAAGCCATATTAGTAAGTCAGTATAAACCGCTGGACAGACCCTTACAACTGCTTAGCCCACGCAAAAAGTGCAACTGTCAGATATGCCGTGTGTTTACTACCTTGCTTTCCACATCACCAATTGTTTTTATGGTAATGGCATTGAGCAATGTTGTGATTACTCTTTATGCACAGAAAACGAAGAAAGAATTTATTTACACACCGCTGGGTCCTGGCTCTACCCCCTCCAACAGCCTGCGATGAGTGGGCGCTAATGCGGCAAATGATGCACGCGCATTAGACCTTCCCATAAGAAAGCTTGAACCAATACTTTCCTATGGGTAAAAATCTGACACTGGATGTCCTCATGAACAGTGTGAGGACGTCCAGCGTCAGATACCGGATCAAAGGCCAGTTTTCAAACCAGGAGGCCCTCTAGTTGCTGTCTGGCAGACAGTCACTGTGGGCAGGCTTGATGCTGCAGTGCAATAGGGTCATTGCACCCAGACTACTTCAATGAGCTGAAGTGCTCTGCGTGTCTACAGTGTCCCTTTAAACAATTCATACAACTAAAATATGGTTTAGAACAAAACAATGTATCTTATTTACACAGACTAATTTCCAAGCACATTTATTGTAGTTTAAAGACACATTACTGTGAGTATTATTGCTGTGGCAAGCTGTTACACAAACCAACGGAGTTTCTAAAAAAGAGTGACAATAGGATAGAAAAGAGGGACAGAGGGATTTGGGCCCAAAATAGGGAATCTCCCTAGTAAATAGGGACACTTGGCAGGTATTTATTTAGCTAGATGAATTCAGTTTTAAATTCAGTGTACATATTCTGAATTCTATACTTTGTATAAGGTTCAGATGCGAAATGCACTGAATTTAAAGCAGACACTGAACGCTTACAACCAGTGGCGTAACTAGAAACCACGGTTCCCTGGTGCGAAAATTGCCCTGACTTCCCCCCCCCGTTATCCCTCTATACCTCTATCCTCCCCCTCCCATACGTTCCCCCCCATACACATGCATACAAACAGATACACATGCAGACAGGCACATAGAGACACACACACATATACAGAGACAGACACACATATACAAAATGTTATAGTCACCCTCCTGTTTCCTGCCTTTTAAATGCAGGAAGTGATTTCCCTGGGGCCAAGTGGTGGCGCAGCCTCATTTCTTCCTCCTGCGCGGCTCCTCGTGGTTGCTGGGAGGAAGTGACCGGGGCAGTCCCTTCCTCCCAGTCTCTGACCTCATCAAAGGGGGCCCAGGCGTGCTGTTAAAGCGCCGCAGCGCTGGCCGGGCCCCCTGGAAATTAATTTCCATCGGGTGGCCAACTGATGGGCCCCTTCAATGCAACACAACACATGGCAGCGGGCACCTGGTCGCAGGGGATCCGCAGGGCAGCTGGGCCCCCCGGAGTTACGGGCCGATGCGCTACTGCTTTCAACCAAATCATACAGATTCCATTTGGAATGTGCCTTATTAAATATGAGAGTTGCCATTCCAGTCATTTTCACTTCATTTTATCTATTCGTTCAAATTCCTGTGTGAATAGCCCCGTCTGTGCTTGTTTCGTGGTTTTTCATTTCTGTGGACACCAGAGACAATTCCCCAGCAAGTACATATTTTGACACACCTGTTATATGCAAATTGCACTCATGGCATGAGGCAGCTGGAACTAAAAAAACAAAAACAAACAATGTCACTTTTTTTTTTTTTTTACAAAGACATTTTTTGTATGGATGTGGTCCATAGACCTAAATGATGTACTCTTGTGCATGTGCGAGAGTACAGGGCTGACACCGGTTGTGGACATCTGAAGCGCCAGGCGATGAAGAGTGGCAGGAAGAGGCGCTCACGACGGACAGGCTGAGGTAAATCTCACCTTTCCCTGCTCGGCTGCTCCCCATGGCCACTGGACCTTCAGGAGCAAATCATGCAAAGACCTCAGGATAACAGAGCCATTTAAAAAAATAATAAAAACATATATAGAGCCTTTTTAATAATAATAAATACATATATAGAGCCTTTTTAATAATAAATACATATATAGAGCCTTTTTAATAATACATATATAGAGCTTTTTTAATAATACATATAGAGAGCCTTTTTTAATTATAATAAATACATATATATATATATATATATATAAATAATTCATTACTAAAGAAGATGATTGTGAAACTTAGTATATTGCCTGGTTGCCATGGTTTTAGGGAGAATTTATTTTTAAGACAGAAACCCACAACCCCAAAAGCGACTGAGCCACCTGGCAAACTACACCGTGTAGGACCGCCCCCTTTTCCAGGAGAGACCGCCCACCGTTACGTCACCGCTCGTTCAAGTCGCCCGAGCTGGGGAGGCGTGAAAGGTCATGTTTGTGTATCTGACAGTCCTACCGTGCAGTGCATGCTGGGAAAGAGGAAAGCGGAAGTAACAGAGAGGACAGTGGGAGCTGGAGTCCAGGAAGTGAGCCCACTGCACGTGATGGAGGATACACACAGCAGGAGTGGATGTGATGATAACTATAGAGACATGTAACTCAGCCAGTCCTGTAATCCATCCCTGGGGGCCTGGTCTGTGAGGCAGTGACATGGAGTTACTGAGGAGCCAGTCCTGAGGAATCATGCTCTGTGTGGCCAGCCATGTGGGTTTCTTATTTATACAATGCTCTATCCCCTAATACTTAAAGGACCACTATAGTGCCAGGAAAACATACTCGTTTTCCTGGCACTATAGTGCCCTGAGGGTGCCCCCACCCTCAGGGCCCCCCTCCCGCCGGGCTGGACGGCGAGGAAAGGGGTTAAACTTACCTTTTTTCCAGCGCCGGGCGGGGAGTTCTCCTCCTCCTCTTCGGCTGAATGCGCATGCGCGGCAAGAGCTGCGCACGCATTCAGCCGGTCTCATAGGAAAGCATTCATAATGCTTTCCTATGGACGCTGGCGTCTTCTCACTGTGATTTTCACAGTGAGAAGCACGCAAACGCCTCTAGCGGCTGTCAATGAGACAGCCACTAGCGGCTTTGGAGGCTGGATTAACTCATTTATAAACATAGCAGTTTCTCTGAAAACTAGTTTGTTTTCCTGGCACTATAGTGGTCCTTTAATAGGATTATGTGCTGAGTCAATTCTTGTTACCTTAATACTTAGCTTCATGTTTTCACTATTTAAATAGTAATTGTAACATTCAGAGTGAATTCCATAAAACAGCTCACCAAGACTGTATGTGTGGATGATTCTGAACAGATGAGCAATAATGCAATTGCTTTATTTATCAATATTTTTCTGTTCTCTCTACAGATTTTGTGAAGGAGCAGTGTCAAATCTTAGTACTGCCGAGTCCCTTTGGGCAGAGTTGGCATCCAGGGCAACGTAGTCAGTGCCAAGGTCAGACGTTGTGTTATGGAAACATGACCAGAATACTGGTGCTAGGTTATATAGTGCTTCGAGACGCTCTGTCCCTTTTGTGGGGTCTTTGCATATCTTGTCGTTTTTTTTGTTGTTTTTTTTTTTTGCTTTGTGACAGAGCCGCTTTCATGAGTTCTATGGAAATAGCGTGTGGAGCAAGAGAGTGAGCATCTATGTTTGTGCGATAAATAGATATTAAATGTGTAAGGGACACTATAGTCACCAGAACCAGTAGGTTTCCTGCAGATTGATTACTCTAAACACTGCCTTTTCAGAGAAAAGGCAATGTTTACATTGCTGCTTAGGAACACCATGCATGCAACGCAATAGCTTCAATGCTTTTCCCTGGGAAAGCATTGCATTTGGCTGAGATCATCAAGATAGATGAACAAAGCCATGGAGGTGAGCCAGCTGCGGTGACATTGACGTGAGGAAAAGGGTGAATAAAAGCACCTTTCACATGCGATCAGAGGATGGCCAGTCATCTAACTAGCTAAACACTATAGTGTCAGCAATACATGCTTATTTGTATTCAAGATGATATAGCAGGGTTTCCCAAAGTGTGGGTCGCAGGGGGATTCCTGTGGGTCACGCTGACCCACGCCGCCAGGGCTGCCGGGGACCTAAGAGACAGGCAGGCAGGCAGACTGATTAGTTGGTCCGTGACCGCAGGCCTGACACCAGGAGGGAGCCCGGCGGCTTGCCCTGTATGCTGCGGGGCTCCCTCCAATCAGCCTGCCCATCACCTCTGGTATGCAGAGCTGCAGACCGTGTGATAGACGTCTCGCCAGCACCCAGTGCATTACTATGGCAACACTACATACAAACACCCCTGCATTTAGCAGCAAACATTACACACAAGTACACCACTACATTCCAATGGCAACAGTACATACAAATACACCCATACATGAACACATACTTTATACAAAAACATGCTTACAAACACTGCTCACAAATATAACGCTGTAACAATGGGCAAAAGGTAGACCCCCAGCTGTCATAGCATTGTTGAAGTTCTCAGACAGATTGGGATCTACATTTTAGCCACCGTTGCACTAGAGGGGGGCCCAGAAATCCTACCTGCACCAGGGCCCTCTCTACTTTAGTTTCACCACTGGGATAATCGTGAGGTGCCTGGATGAAAGAGCCAGACACAGCACTTCTGATTCTGACTGAATCTGTGAGTAAGTAGTTGTATGCCTCTAAAACATATTACCATGTTATGCCAAGTTTCTGCCTCTAAAACTACCATGATTTCCCATAATTATGCCTCTAAAACTGCCATGATATGCCAAATTATGCCTCTAAAACTGCCATGATATGCCAAATTATGCCTCTAAAACTGCCATGATATGCCAATTTTATGCATCTAAAACTGATTGCCATGGTGTGCCAATTGTATGCCTTTAATGCTGATTGCCATCATGTGCCAATTGTATTCATCTACAGCTGATTGCCATGGTGTGCCAATTGTATGCCTCTAAAGCTGCCATGTGCCAACTTTATGCATGTAAGGCTGTTTGCCATGGTGTGCCAGTTGTATGCTTTTAAAATAGATTGTCATGGTGTGCCAATTTTATGCAGCCAAGACTGTTTACCACGGTGTGCCAATTGTATGCCTCTAAAGCTGATTGCCATGATGTGCCAATTTAACGCAGTTAATGCTGATTGCCCTGGTGTGCCAGTTGTATGCCTCTAAAGCAGGTTGCCATGGTATGCCAATTGTATGTATACATCTAAAGCTGATTGCCATGGTCTCCCAAGTGTATACATCTAAAGCTGGTTGCCATGGTCTGCCAATTGTATACATCTAAAGCTGATTGCCATGGTGTTCATTTTTAAAATATGCATTAAAAGCAAGTGGGTCTCGGAAAAATTACCTATAAACGTTTGGAAAGCCCATGCGCTATAGCGTTACCTTGACAAACTTGTTATGATACTGCCTGGCAAACATTGCCAATCTACTGGTATCCTATGACAACACAAACTCCTGCATGACTATGCTCCTATGTGTATTGTATAAGAAGATAGGACATCATGAGAAGGGGTTGGGCCCAAAATTGCTACAGATTGTTGGTGTTTGCTACACAGGGAGTTGCTTATAGGGCTTTTTGCCAAGTGTGGATTGTGGGAATTTAAAATTCCCACTTTAGTAGAAAAAAAAAAGAGCAAAATTCTGTTATTCCGAATACATATACATGTATTAAACCAATAAATCTGTGTATATTTAAAGGAACATTTTAGGTACCTAGACGACTTCATCTCTCTGGGTGCAGTGTCTCTGTAATTTCAGTCCTGCGGTTTAAAACAGTTTGAGATACAGCAATATTTTCATTGCAGTGCCAATCCCACCTTTTAGTGGCAGTCACTGGAGGCATTTCCACTGCTATAATAGAGTTAAGAAATGAATATGTGACATTCGACGTCCAAATGCATTTCAATGAGCACATTTCTTGATTTGTTTTTTTTAGATTCGAGTACCACCCTTAAAATAAACAAAGAGGCAGTAGAACACTATAGCGTTAGCACACATTAAGAGTGTTGTGATCTTTTAGAGCAGTGGTTCCCAACCCAGTCCTCAAGTACCCCCTACCAGTCCAGGATTTAGGGATTACCAAGTTGTGTCTAAGGTGTTTTTAGAAAGAAAGAAAAAAAACACTTTAGACACAACAGAGTAATCCCTAAATCCTGGACTGGTAGGGAGTTCTCGAGGACTGGGTTGGAAAACCCTGTTTTAGAGGGCTATTTGATGAATTGGAGAAACTCGAGTAGCTCAGCTATTTTGGCATAAAAATTGCAATACACAATTTAATTACTAAGCAACAATGTAAGTGTTTTGTTTTTTTTTGAGACAGCCCAGGTTTATGTAGTTCAGTTTATTTGAGTAGTCTTATTCATTTATTTTATTGTTTTAAAGGTTACTTTACTGCAATCTTCAAATGAACAATATAGTATCAGGAACATGAACACGTATTCCTGTAGCTATAATGTCTTTAACTATTTAGGTTACGGCCTCTCTCATCACATTGGAAAAGCGTTTTTGTTCAACATTTTTCCCACGCCGTGCCGGCCTTCCTCGCTTAGATCATAGGAAAGCACGAGGAGACTATTGTGCATGTGCAGCAAAACGCCACTCTGCGCCAATCAACATCTCCTTGTAGAGATTCATTTAATCAATGTATCTCTAAACATTTAGTGCCTCCATTTAGAGTGAATAGGAAGCACCTCTAGTGACATTCTGAGTGACTGCTACTAAAGGTGCAACTAGGCAGCAATGTAAACACTGCCTTTTCTCTGAACAGTGCTCAACCTGCAGGGAGAGGCTATAGACATGAGAACCACTACATTGAGCTGTAGTGGTTCTGGTGACTTTTTTTTTTTTGTCCCTTTAATGAGACTAAGAAAACCCTCTTAATTTAATTTACCTGTCAAGAAAATTATTGCTTACGTATACTTTTTTTTTTTAAACCAGTGATCCAGAAACATGAATTTGTCTAGAACTTCGCCAGTTGGGCAATGTCTGGACATGTGCCCATTTAAGGAGAGGAAACAACGGGAGCAACAAGGGCGTCTGCATAAATACGAGATATTAGATGGGCAATGGACAGGTAGGGGACAAAAACTTAAAAGGCTACCACTTGCTGATCCTGCCAAAACAGTAAAAGAATACAGTCGTCCGGCAGCAGGAAAAGAGCTGTCCTCACCGCGTGACCTCCGGCCATCATCTGTTCTTTTAAAGACTGTACAATACCTGCTTTTTGAAGTGTGGGATCGTGTTAATGACAGTGATTCGGTGTCTCTGGCTGAGGCTTATTCTTTTGTATTTGATCGCCTACGTGCAGTGAGACAGGACCTTACAGTACAGAGGATCAGAGGTCATTCAGGTGCCCTTGTTTTAGAGGGAAGCCTTGGTTTTCTTCTTTGTTCTCCATACCTGGTGAGAGAGCTGCCTTTGGGGACCTATGATGAAGTGCTGCATGCGAATCAGGTGCGGGAAAGTTTTGCTGAACTTATGGAGTGTTACAGAACAGAACCAAAATGCCAGAGGGAAGCTGAATTTCAAGCCCTGTTACTGCTGTATGATTTAGGTAAGATTGCGTGATTTAAAAAAAAAAAAATATATATATATATATATTTTTTTTTTAAGGTACACTTCCTTCTGAGGCCCCTAAGTCATTAATAAGTATTATTATTTTTATCATTTACTTAAATTTCATGTTTTATATTTATTTTGTTAAACCATATTTAAAGGGATACTGTAAGCACCAAAATAACTTGAACCCAATCAAGCAGTTTTGGGGTTTAGCTCGTGCTCATATTGGTTAAAGTGGCTCTGCCTACCCACGATGAGTATTACAAAAAAAATGGAGTAGGGCTGCGCCAACAGAAGATAGAAGAATAAAATAGTCCAAAAAGTCTCACTAGAGCAGCAATGGATAGCACTTGATAAAATGTGGAGATAGGTGTGTCAGAATGTCTCAGGACGTCTATTCATTATATGGAAGACAGAGACTGCAACCAATAGTACAATAATTCCCAAAAATAAGTGCAAAAATATAGGAGGTAAAGAACTCACATTTAAAAGAGCTATAGTCAGCTTTGGTGTGAAGGGCGTGCAGCTGTATAATCCCTGATTGTGGGAAATATGAAGAAAGTGTGTCTATCAGCACCGTCTGGTCATCCAAGGCTCCAACCGGAATAGAAAAGGCAACAATAGTGCTCTCAATATGATAAAAGATATATAAAATAATACTCACAAGCTGAGAGCAGAAGCATTGCTCTCTTGATAAAGCGTTGGTGGTGTGACCCCCATCTAGGATTTCTTTGGGCACAGGAATGATAAAAAGCCAGAAAAAGTAAAATTATAAAAGTGCATAAAAATAAAATAAAAAGATTTGGCACAGCAAAATAACCCAAAAACGTTTTATTGATCTAAAATACACAACTAAAAATAACCATTACACGATTCACCAATATAGGCTTTCTCAAATGGTACCATTTAAGAGCCTATATTAGTGAAACACATAATGGTTATTTTTAGTTGTGTATTTTACTTTTACTGGCTTTTTATCATTCCTGTACTCAAAGAAATCCTAGGTGGGGATCATACCACCAACGCTTTATCAATAGAGCAGTGCTTCTGCTCTATTTTATTTATCTTTTACCTATATTTTTTTTTTAATCATATTGAGAGCGCTATTGTTGCCTTTTTCTATTCCGGTTGGAGCCTTGGGTGACTAGACGGTGCTGATAGACGCACTTTCTTCATATATCCCATATGCAGGATTTAGACCGCTGCATGCCCTTCACACCAGAGCTGGCTATAGCTCTTTATTATTTATTTTGATTCTTTGTTTTATTGAGGCATTGAAAGGATACATGACAGGCATTACGGAGTCATAGTAAATTTCATACAAGCTTGGTAAACAAGGATAGGAGATAACTCCTAGCAAAATCTGCCTTTTTTGTTTTGTTTGTTTGTTTAAGAAGATAGACAAGAACAGTTGGCATAGTTGGCAGAGCACTGTCCAGTTCCCCAAAGGGGTGTTTCAGGCGTTTGGTGTGGTATGAATGTCGGCTGATCAGGACATACATCAGGAACCGGGTTCTCCGCTGCTTTTCAGGCTTGTCCCTGTGCTTGTGCTTAGTCTGAGCGGTCTTCAGCATATGTGCCCCTTTCAGTTTTGGTGAGCTCCGCTGCTTATGTTGCTTGCGCCTCCACCGTACTTGGGCTTTCTTCACTGGTAAGAGTGATTCACGATGGCGATCTGGAGCCTGCAGGTCTTGTGGGAGGTCCTTTGGCTGCAATGGTGCACGGTGGAGTTGTCTGCTTTCCAACCGCTGCCAGAATCTTTCAAACGTCCAACCATACTGTGCTGGAGTTAGGTAAACACGCGGGTTCCGCCATTTTGCATTGGTCTTAGTGGTGTCTGTCAGCTTGGATGGCTTCACGCTGCGAGTCTTCCTGTGCTGGGTTACCTCCCAGGCGTGGACCGGGATCACCCCCACCGGTCCAAGGGAGGGGGAGAACGGGGCTGTTGCTGGCAAATAGCGTCCTCTGGGCCCCTCCCGTCCGGGAGATCGGCTGCCTCTCCCGCCCAGTGAGCACTAGGCCGCATCCACCACATGCAGGTACGAAAGCTCCCAGTGGCTCTTTATCCACTCTTCCTATTATGCAGGTTGGAAGGCCACAGTGTTGCAGGATTTGCTTCTAATCAGGCTGCTTAAAGGACCACTATAGTGCCAGGAAAACATACTCGTTTTCCTGGCACTATAGTGCACTGAGGGTGCCCCCACCCTCAGGGACCCCCTCCCGCCTGGCTCTGGAAAGGGGAAAGGGGTAAAAACTTACCTTTTTCCAGCGCTGGGCGGAGAGCTCTCCTCCTCCTCTCCTCCTCCGATCCTCCTCCTGGGCTGAATGCGCACGCGCAGCAAGAGCTGCGCACGCATTCAGCCCGTCGCATAGGAAAGCATTTACAATGCTTTCCTATGGACGCTTGCGTGCTCTCACTGGGAAAATCACAGTGAGAAGCACGCAAGCGCCTCTAGTGGCTGTCAATGAGACAGCCACTAGAGGAAATAGGGGAAGGCTTAACCCATTCATAAACATAGCAGTTTCAGAGAAACTGCTATGTTTATAAAAAAATGGGTTAACCCTAGAAGGACCTGGCACCCAGACCACTTCATTAAGCTGAAGTGGTCTGGGTGCCTAGAGTGGTCCTTTAAGCTTGTCAGACGTGTCTTTAAGCCAGGTAATGGAGGAGCTCACTCGAGATGCATCTCACCTCCATGATGGTCAGGCCCTGCCCCTGGCTATAGCTCTTTTAAATGTGAGTTCTTTACCTCCTTCTGTATTTTTGCACTTATTTTTTGGACTTATTGCACTATTGGTTTCCTCTGTCTCTCTGTCTTCCATATTACGAACAGACATTCTGACACACCTATCTCCACTTTGTCATTGCGCCCAGCCATGACAACTGACAGCTGTAGGGAAAAGGGCATTGCTTATGGAGGATTCCTAATAGACCTTAGTGTTGTACTGACGTGGGCTCCTTGCATGTAGTGCTAGGAGATGAAGTGGAATGATCAGATGAAGATGGCAGCGTGTGTGAGGGACAGGTTCAGGTAAGTAAAACTCTCCAGATGGTGACAGAGCCTCTTAAAGGACCACTCTAGGCACCCAGACCACTTCAGCTTAATGAAGTGGTCTGGGTGCCAGGTCCCTCTAGGATTAACCCCTTTTAACCCCTTTTTTTTTTTTTCTTCAGAGAAACTGCTATGTTTATAAATGGGTAAATCCAGCCTCCAAATCCTCTAGTGGCTGTCTCATTGACAGCCGCTAGAGGCGCTTGCGTGCTTCTCACTGTGAAAATCAAAGTGAGAAGACGCCAGTGTCCATAGGAAAGCATTGTAAATGCTTTCCTATGAGACCGGCTGAATGTGCGTGCAGCTCCTGCCGCGCATGCGCATTCAGCCCAGGAGGAGGATCGGAGGTGGAGAGGACGACGAGAGCTCCCCGCCCGTCCCTGGAATAAAGGTAAGTTTAACCCCTTTCCTCGCCATCCAGCCCGGCGGGAGGGGGTCCCTGAGGGTGAGGGCACCCTCAGGGCACTATAGTGCCAGGAAAACTAGTATGTTTTCCTGGCACTATAGTGGTCCTTTAAGTCTTTCTTAAGTTCATAATTTCTTAACCACAATTGCAGACATTTTCTCCACTAGAAGTATCTGTATTAGCTTGCAAATGTGATTATAAAGTTAAAGGGAATCTACAGTCACCAAAACAATTTCAGCTTAATGAAGCAGTTTTATGTATATAGCATGCCCCTGCATTCTCACTGTTCAAGTCTATGCCATTTAGGAGTTAAATCTTTGTTTATGCAGCCCTGTCACAGCCTTCATAAACACTTCCTGTAAAGAATCCTCTAATGTTTATACTTCCTTTATTGCAAATTCTGTTTAATTTACAATTGCTTATCTCCTGCTCTTTCAATAACTTGCTAGACAATGCAAGAGACTTCTGTATGTAATTAAAGTCTAATTTGCAGAGCAGGAGGTAAAAACTTTTAAAGTAAGTTAACATGTAATTGAAAGTGTACAATTTTTTTCTTGCAGGTTGTCCCTCACAGCCATGGGAGGTGTGGCTAGGGCTGCATAAACAGAAACACGTGATTTAATTCCTAAATGGCAGAGAATTGAGTAGTGAAACCTCAGAGGCATGATCTATACACAACTGTTTCATTAAGCTAAAGTTGTTTTAGTGACTATAGTGCCCCTTCCACTAAATTTCACTATGATTTACTAAAAAAAAAAAAAATTTATCAAAGTTGAAAAAAACATCTGTAAAATTTTCCAAGTTTCTTTTTAGCCCTTGACTGTCATTGTTTTTCATTGTTTCTTGCACTGCTTAAGCTAAAATCCAAGCAGAACATAACGTTATCAGTCCTTTGTGCTTTATATCTTGTAGGAAATATGGACACTTTAAATCGGGCTCTGAAACTACCTCGTGGTGTTGTTGATTCTCCACAGGTACTAATTGCACTGGCTGTAAATAGAGCACATTTGGAAGGTAACTGGACACGACTGTTTCGATTACTTCGTAGGCTTGACTGTCTACAGACCTGCGCGTTTTACAGACATCTGCCAAATATACGTGACCGGGCTCTGAGAATTCTAACGCATGCTTACAACAGCCGGAACTGCCGTTTTCCACTTGATCTTCTTGCATCGCTACTGGTTGTTGACAATATTGAGGTGGCCAGGCAGATGTGCATAAGGAGAGGCTTGTCCCTTGCACCAGAAGACCAACAATCCATAATTTTCTATAAAACCTCTTTTAAGGATTTGGGGCCTGAAGGTCCTGGGAAAGAAGGCCATCTAGTGGAAAGGAAGAAAGGGGACTTTACATGGGCCGAGATCATGTTGGGAGAGGATGAAGGGGAGTTTGCGAGATCATATAAGTAATAAAAATCTCCGTATTAGAAACTGGACTAAGAAATTTTGTAGAATCTTATTATTAATGTTTGTATTAGAGATGGGAAAAATCCAGAGCTAAGCCAAAACCCCTTGATGTGAGATGTATCAGGCATCATTGCTGGGTATGTGTCCTCCACGTAGAATATGAAAGCACAACTTTAGAACTTCTAACAAAGTGCGAATAGTCAAGATTTTAAAATGTAAGTCAAAATAGCTAAACTGAAAATATAGCTCACTTGAAGATTTATTTTCAAACTGGTAAATTTGGCTTAAAATTTTAAATTCACTTTGAATTCCTGGCCATTAACACTTCAATTAATAACCCCCGAATAGAAACTGGATCACATACAGTCCATAAGTGCATCTCTCATGGCCAGTTTAGCTAAGCTTATATACAAAACCAACTCACATTTTATCAGCTAGTTAAAGCAATCCTATTTGATCTATTAATTTCGTACCAGGAACTGCTGCAAACGCTGTCTACTGAGCAAAACAATTGGAGGGAGCGGAGTGACAAAAGCTCAGTTTGATCAACCATATTGATCACTTTAAACACCATGACCACCACAACACGCTGTAGTTGGTAATGTGCCAGGGCACACCCCATTGTTGGTATAAAACCATTTTAGAACGGTTTGACTTCTTACTTGGTGTTTGTCTGAAATAGAGGAGTTGGGGAGCAGTGCCCAGCAAAGAGGTGAAAGCATGCTGCAGTGATTGTGGTGCTTGGAGTGTACTTTAAAAAAAAAAGGAACTGTCATTGCTCATTCCCGCATCCCAGTATGTGCTATTATAGGGATTACTGTGGTAAATGGAGCAGTGGAGGTGAGTAAAACATTCTTTAAAAATGCATGAGCACTCTGATTATTCTCTTACAGCACTGCTAGATAAAAGTTATTTACATACTCCTTACCCGGCAAAATATCTGTTAAATAGAGAGAAAAATAATAAAACAGAAATTGCACCAATGTTCTCATGACACCATTATCACTACAGCTCCTTGTAATGGTTATGATGCCTAGAGTGTCCCTCCAATTTTCATTGGTTTCTTGTATTCTGAGACATCTGAATTGAAATTCTCTTTTGATTCAGGTGTGTTTGTTACCAAGAACATTTCGCTACTAATTAAAGGACAACTATAGGCACCCAGACCACTTCAGCTTAATGAAGTGGGCTGGGTGCCAGGTCCCTCTAGGATTAACCCTTTCTGCTGTAAACATAGCAGTTTCCGAGAAACTATGTTTACAAATGGGTTAATCCAGCCTCTAGTGGCTGTCTCATTGACAGGCGCTTCAGTGAGAAGACGCCAGCGTCCATAGGAAAGCTTTGAGAATACTTTCCTATGAGACTGGCTGAATGCGCGTGGCTCGGGCCGCGCATGCGCATTCAGCCAATGACAGGAAAGGAAGAGGAGAGTCCCCAGCGCCGAGGGAGCCCGGCGCTGGAAAAAAGGGAAGGGATTAACCCCTTCCTCCCTATAGAGCCAGGAAAACAAGTATGTTTTCCTGGCACTATAGTGGTCCTTTAACGTCATTAAGAAAATAAAAGGTTTAATTTCCTTCCTTGTGCCAAATACCTCTTGATTGTTCTATGTTGTACCATCCGCTAGGGGGCTCAGAACGAACTATTCTGCTCTAGAGTCACGTACAAAAAAAGAATGGAAGAACGCTTACTGTAGTGGGGTGCTGTGTATAGAGCTATAATAGTTCCACACCAGTAATAAATTCCAAACAAAAAAGAAGGCTCTAGAACAGTGGTTCCCAACCCAGTCCCCAAGTACCCCCTAACAGTCCATGATTTAGGGATTACCCAGTTGTGTCTAAGGTGTTTTTAGAAAAAAAAAAAAAACACTTTAGACACAAAAGGGTAATCCTTAAATCATGAACTGGTAGGGGGTTACTTGAGGACTGGGTTGGGAACCACTGCTCTAGAACTCTCCAAAAAAAAAAAATAGTTCTGTTTAGTGCTTGTTAGAAAGTATATAAACAGCTATGTCTTAGCTCACACTGCAGCCTTTTTTTAAAGGGACACTATAGTCATTAGAACAACTACAGCTTGATATATTTGTTCTGTTGAGTATAATCATTGTCTGCAGGCATTTTAATGCAAACACTGCCTTTTCAGAGAACATTGCCCCTAGGGACACCTCCAAGTGACCACTCTTCAGATGGGGACTGGAGGGGCTTCTGGCTCAGTGCTGCACCGTAGGCTGTTCAGCGGGGACGCTTAATTTTCCTCAGAGATGCATTGAATGCATCTCTGAGGAGGTGCTGATTGGGTAAAACAGCATTTGGCCCTGCCTCCTTGCCGATTTCAGCCAATCAATGCACTCCCTATGGGAAATAATTGGATTGGCTCAACATCGTCAATTCCGACGATGTCACCAAGGGGGCAGGGCCAGTGTCAGCAGACCCACGCGGCACTGGAAATAATGTGTTTTTGTTCCTTTTAAGGGGTCTGGGGGAGGGGCAAGCCACCTAAATGGTGGGTTAAACACTATAGGGTCAGAAATACATGTTTGTGTTCCTGACCTACTAGTGTGCCTTTAAGCATCTGAAACTTGATAAAGGCTGTGTGAGTTGGAACTTCTAAGCTACAAGGAACCAGGAACCTGGAGAACGTGTAAGATGGAGCCTAGTGGATACACACATGCTGAATTGCTCCTGTAGGGAAGGCAGGCTTGCTCTAGCAGAGCACACCTACTGCTTCAGTTACCTGTGTGGAGCTAAGGGAAGAATGAAAAATAACTTCATAATTTTAATTATAAAAGTGCCAATTTCTCATAGAAATCTGCATTTTTTATAAACCAGAATTGAAATACGATACTCCTCCCCCATCAAGCACTTTTTAGAGAGTGGTGTAAAGAATACAGTTCATCTTAGAGGTGACCCCCCTCATTCAATACATTATACAGAGATTTACAAAACTGAGATATCTTTAACAGGGTTTGAAATTTTTTTCCTGAATTTTTTTTTTTTCCCTGCCCCTCCTCCAATCTGCTATTCAGAAAATTCTTACTACAATTCAGAATTTAGTACATAAACCTGTATGTTTATAGCAGCTGCTTCTATCAACTTATTTAAAGGGACACTTTGTTTTCCTGGCACTGCAGGTACCCTCTCCCTCCCACCCCCCATCCCATGTTGCTGAAGGGGTGAAAACCCCTTCAGTGACTTACCAGAGACCCCCGCCGATGTCCCTTGGCGGTGGTTTCGGGTCCGTCCATGCTCCTCCCCTGCCGTCATCCAGCAGGGGACACTGATCGCACATGTGCATGTGCCGGCAGGGGAGACCTAGTGTGCATGCGCGGCAATCCCGTGCGTGCGCATTAGACCTCTCCATAGGAAAGCATTGAGAATGCTTTCCTATGGGGAATTGAGTGACGCTGGAGGTCCTCACACAGCGTGAGGACATCCAGCGACGCTCTAGCACAGAAAACCTGTGCTAGAAACCAGGAAGTGCCCTCTAGTGGCTCTCTAGTAGACAGCCACTAGAGGAGGAGTTAACCCTGCAACGTAGGCTTAACGAAAACTGCAATATTTATAGCTGCAGGGTTAAGGTTAGTGGGAGTTGGCACCCAGACCACTCCAATAGGCAGAAGTGGTCTGGGTGCCTGGAGTGTCCCTTTAACCTCTCCATTCACAGTTTTGTGAAACTGCTGTCCTCTGTGAGTGACTGATCACCCATAAATACAACTTTAACATAAAGGTTCTCTGAGCTGGTTAGCGAAAGCAGCGACTTAAATACGAAGAATGGGGTCCCTTTTACTTTGTCTGTAAATAAAAGGGGCAGGCGTAGAAGTGCAGTGATTTTTGTAAATCTCTGCAGTTATAAGATTACTATGGGCAAAAAGAAAATAACACAAATAACCTCAATTCTTGCACTATTACTTATGCTGTTTGTCGTGTCACTTTAAGCAATGCGCAAATAAATATTTTGGGATATATAACTTTATTACACATTACTTAATACAGAGTGCTATATACTTTTATAGATTTTATTTGAATCCATACGTAATAGTTATGGTAATTTTGCATCTGATATGGATAATATTTGACTTTGTAGATTCTGGGATTCAATCCTTGCTGCTGCAAATCATAGTTGCCCAGAAGGTAGTAGAATTCTACATATAATAATGTAACCATCTATTTTAAAATAGCAAGACTTTTATACAATTACACTAATTGTTCTTAGTGGTGTGAATGGTGTTTAAAATATGAAGAGGGGTAGAACTCCTGTTCTGTGGAGTAGATAATATTTTGAGAGAGTTTTTCTAACTATTACATTGCACACACAAGGGAAATGATAGTTGTGTGAAAATTAAACAAAATTAGTTGATACGACAGGGGATTTGGATATATCCACAAAAATAAAATACATGTAAAAATATGATTTGGAGCAAAGGGAAAAGATATGAGGTACCTATGTAAGCGTTTGTGCTAGAAAGGTGGGGAAAACGACAGCTGTTGTGAAAATTGGGTGGAAAATGTCACAGTGAAGTTGCAGATAAATCTCAACAGTCCATGTGGTTCATTCATTTCCAACAGCTTGGTTTTATTTCTCTTTAGGAGAGAAGTGTACTATCTCGACCATATTTTGCTGGTTTACTTTGAACTTTGATTTTAACTGCATAGTAGTTAAAGTCTATTTATGTTGCCTCTCACTTTTGCGGTTTATAAATGGCTCTATAAATGTCTTGGTCTGTAGGTAAAGTTGTACACATTTTGTACACTTCAGGCAGGAAACAAGAACAGACTGATGGATTACAAGGAGCAAATACACCCCTTTTTATAATGGGACAAATTTGTCTCAGCTACAGGTTGGATTGCCAGAGCATCCAAGGTAAGTTCTTTAGGCAGATTTCCTCGTTTGGTTCAATCCATTGTTATGACAAATGCTAATTCCCATTGGTTATGGCTGCATTAAGCTTGTCTTAAAATTTTTTTACTTTCTGTGTTTTTGGACGTTTTGTTTGGGTGCATCACCATCTCCTCTATTTAATTTAAAAATTGCCAGCCTGCATAGTTAATTATTATATAAATGGAGAAAAAGAATAGTATAAAACATTCTTATTTAATACAGTCTTTCTTTAAATGGATGCAACAGTTTCCAAGGTTGATGCAGCATTATCTATAGCCTGGATAACTATGGTCAAATGATGATGGACTTGATTCCAATCCTCTAATAGACCTGTTGAGACTGCTTTGCTATAGGCGTTTGCAAGGCCTGGGAAGGTAGGCACGGAGGAAGTGCGTGGGGCCCAGATAACATGACTGTAACACAAGAAAGAGAAACTTGTCAATAGCCTACACGAACCTTGTATTTCACTTCCAATACAAATACATGTTAGCTAAAGAAAATATACCGTACGATAAATTATAGCATAAGCAACCACATTACATCACAGAGTAAAAACTGTACTAAATATCACAAACAACCCTCTCTCCTCTGTTTGCGGAAAAAATATCTCTATAATTTTTTCCTTTTAATGACCGTCTGTAGATGCAATACTATGGTTGGGTTGTTCACTACCTCCTGTTTTTGAACAGGAAAAAAAAAAAAAACTCCCTTAGAAATTAGATCTCGCCTGCCAGATCCCCTGATATGTAGCACCCAGGAACAGAACTGAAGACCATGTAACATGGAATAATATTCTTTTTAACTTGAATATATAATAAATTGAGGAAAGTCCACAAAGTTTCAAAAAGGCATAGAGACTAGTCCTAACCAAACTTTAAATGTTCCATTGTCTGAAAATCTATTTACAAACAGGACACAAGGTCACGTGTTTAAACTAGAAGAAAGGAGATTTGGTCTAAGGCAAAGCAAAGTGTTGTTTTTTTTTTTTTTTTTATGGTAAGAACAATAAGGATGTGGAATTCTCTGCCTAAATAAGTGGTTTTATCAGAGTCTGTACAGATGTTTAAACTGTAACTGGATGCATACTTGCAAAAACATAATAAGGATATAATTTTTATTTTGTTTGGTAATAGTTTCTTGATCCAAGGATAAATCTGACTGCCATTTTGCGGTCAAGAAGGATTTTTGTTTCATATTTTTTTTTTTTTGTGCGCCTTCTCAACCGCAAAAATAGATTTAAGAAAGGCTGAGCTTAATCGATACAGGTCTTTTGTTGGCCTGTGTAACTATATGTAATTAGATCAG